ATATAATGCACACATACATATAATTTCATTTTCTATCGATCGATAGAGTCATAAGCAAAGATGGATGGTGGCTAGCAGTAGAGTCCGGGACGCGAGTTTCGTCCTATTTTAGACTCATCAGCCGGATGCACCTGCATCCCAGAGTTGATGTTCACTCCGGGATTCGAACCCAGTAACTGTTCGCTACAAACTCCATCACGTTATCCACTTAGCCATTGAGTCCAGACAACCATTAGCTTGTGCAATAAGATGAAGTTTAGATTCATTTTGTATTGTTTGTTTGAATCTTCCAATTGATGTTTAGAACTGCAATTGATCAGTCTCTTATTGTCATACGTGCATTCAGTACAAATTTCCTCGATATTGCTTTAAGTCACAAGCATTATAAACAAAGATGGATGGTGGTTAGCAGTGGAATCCAGGACGCACTTTTTGTCTTATTTAGGACTCTTCAGCTGGAAACATCAATTGCAGTTCTAAACATCAATGAGAAGATTCAAACAAATAAAACGAAATGATTGATATAGTTACTTGTTAAAGCTTTACCCTCAATGTATCAGCGTAATTGTTTTTTCTTTTTATAATTACCGATTATTTCAACGGATGTCGATCGATTTTAAACGTGTTTAACCTGACCTTAATAATTAAAGTGTTTGTCTTTTTTTTTCAAAGGTCAATTGATGTCATCTCTAGTGAGAAAAATAAGTAGGATTCTCAAAATGTTCATCATGGGTCGATTTATTTCGCAATTATTTTTTTAGATTTAAATGCTAACCTGTTTTATACATACTTATAAATAAAATCAGCATGAGTAGTATGAGTAGTAGCAATAGTACCCTAGTTATCCATTAAATGGCAATGAACATTTAGAAAAGATTAGTTACTTTTTTTTATTTTATACCATTTATTTACATCATTGAATTCGATGTTTTATAGAATTCTGGTGCATATCCCGTCGCTATCCCGAATAATTAATGTTTTGTTAATGCTAAGTTCGTTTAAATTAAATTGTAGAAAATCATGAGCTAAAGTTTTCCACTAATAATCTATACTCATAATCAACGTTTTTATTTAGGATGTTGCAGATAATCAGCCTAAGATTATTGAACATCTGTTTCGCCCAGGATCATAGTTACTGCTGTCGTTCTCACTGAGCTACTTTACAATCGTGATTAATCTCTTGTAGATGGTTAAAGGTAGCAATCGATCCTGGACCTGTGTCTAAGTCTAGTTTTTACTGCCTGATAGAAAGTAAATTTTCCTGTTATGCTTAAATTGTTATACTATTGAATTATTATAAGTAGCTATGTATCAATCAGAATTAAATTTTAGTCAACTAGATCTTGATAACTTAAATGTATGACTGTGAAATTTAAGTCAATAATTCAATTTAGCACTGGTGTATTTTAACAAACTCAACTTGAAGATTATTTATATAAATAAGTCCTAGACTGTGATCTGTTTCATATCATTGATGTTTATCTGATGTAAGGTGGTGCACTCCACTAACCCTATCGGAGATGAAAACTAGGATTGTCACTTCTTTTATCAAATCAATCATAATCAGTGTAAGACCTGGTATAAATGGACATCTGTGTAAGTTAAAATGGGGTTACATTTAGATCAGTCAATTAGTTGGAAGCCAATCCTAAAAATTTCTAACCTAAGTCAATTTATAATGTAGCACAATAATTGCTCAATGTCATCGGTGATGTTTATCTCACTTTCATTATGATTGATCATGATTCACAGCTTCTCATTGGATATTTTATTTCGTTTTGAGACTGATTTTAACCTAGTTTATTGTTTGTCAACTGTAAAACAACGGCTCTTAACGGATTAAACAACCAAGGTCACAATAATCTTGTCACGGATTCCAAAATCTTTGCCCTAATTCAATTTGAGCAGTTAACTAGTATTACTAACTCCCAAAGTATTAATATAATTTACTGACGAATAATTGAGATTCAAGATAGCAGAGTTCAAAACTCAATGACGGATAGCTTGTAGCTTATTGAGAGTTAAGTAGGAATTAAGTAGAACCTACCAGTATTCTGCTACTAAGACGCTCAACATTAATGCATACTGTAGTACTAAAAATTGGGAAAGAAATTAAGCGATTCTTAGGTAGTATTGAGACCGTGAGGAACTTGGAAATGGAAAAAAAATAGTACAAAACAAGTAGAATTCAAGTGTAAATAACACATTAACATAATTTATGCGTTTTTGAAGGTATTTTAAAGTTCTTGATATTTTTAATCATAGAACAGACTGCATATGCATTCATCGATACATCTGCATATCATTCTTCCTTTATATTCTTAGCCATTATAATTAACTCATAACTCTTATGAGTTAGTCCAAGGATCTTAAAGCTGAAACTATCATTTTCTTCAACACTTGTATTTCTCACGAGGTTATATTTTCCTCTTGACCTATAACACTTTGTATTACTGATGAAAAACGGTTGATGTAGAAATCAATATTTCAGGTCACTACTTGATAAAATAGAAATTTTTATACTCCGGATTTTAATTCATGCTGGTATGATCTCAGAATAGCTTTATTATGGAATTTATTTTACTGCCAAACCAATTAACATAAACTGTTTAATTACCTTGAATTCAATAAAAAACGAATTGGATTATTCCATTATTGGTATTATTGATTGAAAGTTGATCAATCTTGGTTGCACGTATATGCATCCTGTGCGAATCGCCTCGATATAACCACTATGACACAAGTTAAATGGAATATGACTATCGGCATAATCCAGGACGCGTGTTTCGCCATATTTTGGACCCGTCAGCTGTGTGTAGCTTCATTCCAAAGTTGTTCATTCCGGGACATCAATTCTGAGATGCAGGTACACACAGCTGACGAGTCACAAATAGGATGAAACGCTGGTCTTGGATTCTAATGCTAAACGCATCTCATTCGTTCAAATGACCTAGTCATTTTACTTTCATGTTGCTTAAAGATATATATGTATGTTAAGAGTGATATTTTTGCTATCTTTTAGTAGACTCAACTTTAGTTTTGTCTTATGGCATCACCATCATCATCTTGTCTCTCAGTGAGATATAACGTTTTTAAAGTAGTATTCGTATGTCTTGCCGATTCATTTATTATCAGTGCAAGTTCATTCCGGCTGTTGTATTAAATTCACTTCATCATACGAATATTCCAGCTGTTTTTCAAGTAAAATTATTTATCGAGAACAGGTTTATTTATTCGATATTAAAGTCATATTGTGTATAGTGTGTATGAAAGAAACTGGATATTATAAACCACCTACTTAAATGAAATAATTAAAATTCGTTTCAATCTTTCAACTTGGTTCTGTTTTATTTCTTTTCGATGTTTGATTTGTTTGTATTTCAATAAACAACCAAAAAGAAAAAAGAAAAAAACTAAACAATATTGATGTAGAATTAACCAAATTTTATCTTCTCATCACCTTGTTACCTGCGCCTCTTTCCTCTTTTCACATTCATTTATTGTCAACTTTTATTTACTTTTTTATTACAATGAATATTGTATTTCTACATTACCTTTGTTATTGATTGATTAGTTAGTTAGATAGTTGGATAGTTACATTTAATGGTTTATTTGTTTATTGGATACGTGACAGGAAGGAGAATACATTGACTAATCTATAAATTGTAGTATGTATATCTGTATATTTGTTTTTCATAAAATGAATTCACAAATTAGTTTTTCTCGTTGTTATTATTCTTATCACATGTGTATGATCATTAAAAAAAAACTTTTTTTTCTTTCGTCTGTTTTCCTTTTGCTAAACTGGTTTACCATGTGTTTATTAGTTTTCACAAACTACATGAATAAATGAATAGTCAATATAGTTATGTATAAATGCGTTTTTCAATTAGTAGCAAATGCCCTGGTATGGTCAAGGGTGAAAAGAGTCAGCTCTCCCTCTCTAAATGTTCTTACATGACCACGCATATACAGTCACTTTCAGGGAACTCTTATACTCTGCCTTCCCTCAACAGGGGTGTTGTTTACGAAATTGAAAGGATGAAAAGTGAATATCTGGTACTTTAAGCAGGTTGATGGGTACAGAGGATCCAACTAGGGAAGTTGGAAAACCCTGATTTCAAACCTATGGTGCACATGCGCTCCAGGATCCTGAGATAATGAATGGTGTATGAACGTGTTGTTGGTCACCGGCTACCATGCGGACTGTTGATTAGACCTTTGGGTCAAAGGTTCGAGGAGTTGCCTTCTAAGTAAACCACCTGCTTCTGTTTGGGAGCCCGGGAAGTATCCCAGCCCCTACAGAAATCAAATGATTTGTATAGTGCATATATATTCGGTGCCTCCTTGTACCATACTTCATATGTTGATAAGTCGTTTAAAACCCTCTTGTGGGTTACTGAACATTAGTTTCTCATGCTTGCTAAAAGTTTGTCAGTGTTGTGTATTCATTACTCACTCTTCTCTCTATTTATCCACTCGAAATGAAACTTCAGTGGTTAAGGTGTTCGACTTTCAATTATTAAGTCCCAAATTCAAGCCTCATTATACCTTCTTTGGTTTCAGTGACTGAGGTAGCTTCATTAGCCACCACACTTAAAGTGTGATTCGAAACCAAGTATACGACTATGCACACTGTGAGTTGCGAAAAACTCCAATTTTTAGTCACTAGGTTTGGATTTGATTGTTCATATTTTCCTTACCCTTTCAGTCAGTTCGTGATATACCGCTTTCTTCCCCTGATGCTAACTACTAAACGTTTCGAAGTGCGAACTAATTCTTTGATTTATTGAATTAAGTATCTCTGCTAATAAGTGCCAACTAGCATAAAAATTAGGTCCAAGGTTTCCTGTCGCTGTCTACTTCCAATTACCCAACACTTCAGTATGTCATGCTTGATAAAGCTGTTTTATTTTTTCCCCGATCGACGTTCTCTATTAATATCATTTGCATTTTTTTTACTTTGTATCCACTAAATAAAAACACAAATAAAACTTTAGGACCACCAATCCCAGTCAGAGGTTATGATCAAACAGATATTGATTTGGTGAATCAAATAAGAATCTCATCTCGTCAATTGGATGTTACAACACCAGATCAATCGATTGACCATCATGATGTTGGATCACGTAGAGTTCTTAGAGGTGAATTGTAATTTTTCTCTCTGTTTATGTTTTTTCTTATGAAAAGTATTCCGATAAAAATAACTAACATGTCCTAACTGTCAATCACCATCATTTGTTTAGGGAACTGATTCTTAAAGCCACATGAGTTAAATTGATTCCTTCATCTTCAAGTTGATTTGTCAGATAACAGGACAATTAACAAATTGATCGAACAATCAGAATGGGGGTTTGTAACGATCGCAGTAATGTTATTATTTGGATTCATGAGTCGATCTAATCTAAACCACTATTGAAAACGGCCGTCCAGTGCTTCCATGTTTTCAATGGTGATCTAACTTAGATCGACTCATCATTGGATAATATTATCATAGGCAATCAAAGGTTTTATTCATAAAATAAGTAATGTTTCACAAAGATAGCTTGATTCTCTAAGTAGACAAAATTCATGGCACTATAGGTATCTGGTCGTAGTTCCTTGTGGATAATGAAATCAAAAAGCGAACAATAATATTAACGTTAACTGTATGGTTTTATGTAAAAATAGTAAGTCAGTTGATACGACTATAACCCTTGATCATTTGAGTTGGCTGAGGTATTTGATAGACAGGCTTTGCACATTTCATACTTTGACCGTATTCACTGTTGACTGGCTTTAGAATAGGTTAGAAAGACGTATGAAGCGGTCAGACCGAAATCGCAGCACCAATTTATGAAGATATTAATTCTCAGTTTTAAGTGTTTCGATGTATACAAACTAGAAGCTCTTAGATATGGGGTGGTGCATGTTTTGTTTATCAACAAGGTCTATCTACTCCCAGTACAATAGTAAGTTAATGATTACAATTAAATACGATGCTTGATTCCAAGCTGTTCTTGATATGTACACCTTTCGAACATTTGATACCAATTTCCCAGTCACTTCTTAGATTCCTCGAATACTCCTAGACCTCAGACCCAAATAGTAGAGCTAAAGCTCGAAGTAAGAATAGTGGCTTTATTTCAGGGTTCATTTATATACAGAAAACAATAGTCGCTATAGATTTTTTTATAACCATTAAACTCTGGAAACGTGCTAAATTTAGTATCAACGTAATCAGTCATTCAATCATTGTTCTACTCAATCCATCAATTTTCTGTCTTTGTGGTGTATGCTGATTGGACGAGATGTTCTCAGCCTTTTTCTGGCTCCTAATGATCTATATCGAGTAATTCTTGTCAGATAACCCCAACATTTCTGTAATATATTTACAATTTCCTATTTGGATTTCCACTTTATATATATATATATATACCTTTTTCTCTTCCGTTCTATATGTTTACCGTTTTTCTTCTCCCCAATTAACATTGCTGTTATCCATTCAATCCATTCAAATGATAATCATCATTTACTATTAGAAACAAATTATTGTCGTATAAATGTCTGTGAATCGTTGGCTAATCTACGTTCACCAGTATTATGCAATAGTACAAAACATAATTATCATCAATGTTTTGATGATTCTGATGTGAGTTTATGATTGCTTTTAACAAATAAATCCAAAAAAAGAAAGAATTTAATAAGTGTATTAGTTCTAAGTATTAGGACACTTGTCATGTTGTGAATTTTCAACCGACTTTCAAACTATTTATGTCAATCTAACAATCTTGGAGAAATTTTAAAGTAGCACATAGTTACTAACCATTGTGCGTTTCACGATTAGCGTAAGTATGGTAATCAGTAAGTAGTTCCTATAGTTTATAAGTGACTTATATACTGTGGAAACCTTTGGAAACTATGTCAAAATTAACAGTTATTTATCATCGGAAGGGGTTTTGTGGATATTATAGTAATTTTAATAGTTGAGATCATGAGTCTGGCTTCAAGAGATATTTCCTGGAGTTCTAGTGAGAAGCAGTGATCAGTGAACTTCAACCGAGTCTGTTGTGAGATAGTAATTCACTTAATACAATGATGGATGTATCGCTCAATTTCTTGGATTAGTTGGGATTAGATATTAACACCGTTGGATGCCGGTTCAGTGGTCTAGTGGTTAAGCGTCCGCGCGTGAGACCGATAGGTCCTGGGTTCGAGTCTCGCGTGGCGGTATGATGAATGCGCACTGCTGAGGAGTCCCAAAATAGGGCGAAACGGTCGTCGAGTGCTTCGAGGTTTTCCAAGGTGGTCTAGCTTCAATTGACTCATGATCTCAACTATTAAGAGTTGTTTATCAGTTCAACTAGTCTGATTACAATAAATCAAAGATACAACTACATTTTACAGTTAACTAAATGAGTTATGAGTAGCTAGACCCATTCTTAGCATTATCTTTTTTTTAATTACTCTCGTGTTTTTAGAGGAAATGATTAACTTTCGACTCCTTAATCGTTTACATAGTCATGTACATTAAACCATAGTTCCAATGTTTGTTGTATTTGTACATGAAATTGAATGTTATCTATCATCTAACCAGTTAGATTATGAACTTATTGTTCCAACTAAATTTTTTTCAAGATAAACCTCGTTATAAATTGTTATTTAATAGATCAATATAGGGCAAATATTGTGTTTGTTTCCTTCAACTTATCATTCTTCTGTCGAAGAACAGTTTTCTGTAAAATTAGTTTATTAATATTCAACTATTGATACGACGTTTTCAGAAAAGTGTGGAACAGTGACCTCATTTAGGTAATTGTGTTGTATCATTAGCCCTTATATTACACGAACAATATTAATCAAACTATATAAACCTGTACTTCATAAATAAATCATAAATAATGCCTTTCCACTTTATTTATTCATAGCATTGTTGATCTCCTCGGTTACAAGCTACAATTTAGTGTAAACTATTTCCAAGATGTAATTTAAACTTTTTTTCTGCATTGTAGCTTTTTAATAACTACAATACCACTGCTCAAGCATTTGAAGTGAAGTATATGATTTTCTTATGGAGTGGAACCTCAAAATTTTCGTTTTAAGGGTGTAACGTATTATAAATGTGTTTCACGCCATCATGACGATATCCATTTTCATGTTATTCCATGGACGAAGTCATAAAACCTGTTAGTCAATCCTCTAGGATTCTTTGTTTCATGGTATCTCTATCGAGTTTCTCTATTTCTATTACTCATTCTTTCTTTTATTTATCCATGTTTATTTTCTGTTAAAGACTAATCAAGAATCTTCCGAATATGAACGTATTTATTCGATTACTTCCACGGAATCGACGGATAGAAATATTGCTCAATTAGTTTCAACTGAAAAACAAAATAATGAAACAACCATCTCACATGATAACAATAAGCTAGAACATTCTTATACAGAAATATCAAGTAAGTGTGTGTGTATAAATAATGGGGGCAAAGTGTTAAATGCGTATTTAAGTTAACCCTGATGTTACGGTTTTCCATATCATTGACAGTGAATAAATTCTTGTAAACGTTTGGTCGAGAACGCAAATTATGTAAAGTCACTTGTATATTTTCATATCCAAAGATAAAACCTTACTGTCGACTGTAATTGAATGTTCTAATAATAAATTACTTTCCTTGAAAAACCAGTACCTCCAGCGATATTGCCTTCAAACAAATGAAAGAATGAGAATATCACGAAAAGTGTTTCTCATCCACACACACATATATACTTATTTTTAGCTACAATATGCAGTGTGAAATAGTTTCGGAAGATCTGGAATAACATTTTCTGAACTTGAGCATTCAGTACGGATGGTATTTGTGTAAGAAGAGAGTTCTATGTGGAGATCGTAAGAAATATTAGAGTTATGACGGTGGTATTCATTTGCTGGTTACTTACACTTTAGAAAGATACCTATTGACGAACCATACAATCATCGCACCCGCTTGTAGTTCTTCTGCTCTTAGTTTTACTTCTCCCAACCAACGTGCATCGACTTTAAGGAAAGATTTTCCAAACCAATACTTTATCTTGTCTTCTTAATGTGATTTATCAACATAGACTAACGTACATTTGTATCAGGTTCTTTATTGGATATGACTGATTTATAACTGACAGACAAGAATGCTAACTCTCTTGATCAGATTTTGTGAAAATGTCAATTTTTTGTATCTATCATCCAGGTTCCATTGATGATTTAGCTGCTTATTCTCAAGTGTATTATTCCACAGCGTGTGGATCAATTGATTATCCTGTTGTAAAAACAACTGAATCATTCAATATGCACAATTCTTCATGTTCTCCAACAGTCTTCCATACAAATTCACGTCACCAAAATACTGATAATAAACCTTATCCTCATGATGATGATGTAATCATGAAAGAGTCTTGTCAGCATAATGATTACAATACAAGTAATCATGCTAGTTTAAATGATAAAAATCAGCCTATTTTAATTAGTAATCAGTCATTAACTCCATTGCTATTATCGGAAACAGTAGTTTATAGTGTAACGGAATTGCGTCCATCTATATCATCCAATCTAAATGATAAAATGTTAGCTGAAATTCAAGCTTTTCGTCATATGGATAGTGAATGTAAGTTCATTGTTTTCTCTCTTATTATTATTATTCAACTTGATTAAATAGGTTTGTTTTTTAATTGTTAAAAATCTGGAAATTATGTAAATAACCAATGTTTCTTCTCAATGTTATCAAGACAGTAATCTTGAGTGTTGTTAAAGGTATGAGGACGGTTATCGCTTCCCGATTACCCACACCGCAGAAGGGCTCTTCTGGAGTTACCTGAAAAAGATATTGGGTTATGGGTAGTCTCAATGACCTAAGAACATGACCGCAGTGTCCATGAGACAACTGCTCGAGGTCGATCACATACGATCTTTTTATGAGTAATTTTCGTATTAGTTCCGTACTTGTTGAGACTTTACTGCCGGAGACGGACAGTTGAAAGCAATTAACAACTGATTCTATTTTGTTTAAATAATAAAAGTCTAATTATCTATGATTTCTGTGAATTTTATTAAGTTAAAAGGTGTTCTAAATCGATTGTTGTTTACTTTAAATTACACTCATTTTCCTAATTCCAATACAAATGTTTGTTTGTCTTTTCACCTATATGTAAATACCTGACGGATATTTATCTACATTATATTGTGTATGGTTGAACCGATTATACTACAGCAAATGTACTATTTATAGTTGCTTTTAGTTTTTGATTAATTTTAATTGATATAACACACACATTCAGAGTAATCAACAAACACTATAGCTTTGTTCTATTAAAATTTTTGGAAGTCATATAGGTAAGTGCAGACTCCTGTTCATGAAAGTCTTGATAATCGTGATCTTCGTGTTAACTTTCAACTTCTTTGATAACAGAAGCAAACAGTATGATAATTTAATATTTCAAACTGTTTCTACTAATCAATCAATTATGATATGTCTTTGTTTTGTAAAAGGTAGTTTCCAACACTGTAGACATGCGGTTGTTTAGTCACAATCTACTTTTAGTATTCTCTTGTATAGAGTTTTCAATATGTTAATAAACATATTAAATAGATTCTCTTTTATGAAATGATTCTATAATACAAACGTGTCTAGTGAATCAACTCAGCTTTCTTGTCAAAAAAACACACAACAATATGATTGACTTGAAATACTTGAAAGATAAGGAACAGATCATCGCATACACTTGTGACAAACTGTATTAACTAGAAATACAGTTTGAAAATATTATTCATTGTTATCGGTGATAAATATCTCATTCCTGAAATGATTAAGATTTCATGTTCACAACTTCTGAATAAAACACTGTGAACTCCTCTCAAAGTTAGTTATTAGTTGATGTACTGATGATTCAATGTTTGAGTTTGTTGAAATCTTCAGCTATCCATTTAGTTTCATATTACAACTGAGGAGATGATTCAATATGTGAATGTGAAATTGGTTGATACCTCGTTGTGTTATACCATCTGTAAATAACATTAATCAGACTCTACAAATCAATTTGTAATATGGTCTACTAATTAAAGTGACTGGACATCACAAACTTTATGTTCAGTGTTAGGTAGCTGAAGGTAATTGATAGGAAACTTTGAACAGTAACACGTAGCATACATATGTATTTGTATGAAGATGTAAAAAATTATAACTAGATCTTTATTGACTTCCCAGTTTCATAAGCAAATTGTTAACTTCATACCAGCATTGAATTGACATTGTTTTGTCGAATCCTTTTTAAAGAAGATAGATTAGTTCAGCGAAAAGTTCTCTATTCGGTCAATTCATTTTCATAGCTGTACAATCGCAACTATATATATATATATATATATATATATATATACTTAAATAAGAATTTTTGTCTAAATTTAATCGAATAGTTTCACAGTATTTGGGCGCCGAGTTGATGTGAGACAGTAAAGAGGAAGAATGTTGTATTTGTAAAATCTCAGCGAATGAAGTTGAAGTAAATCCAACGTTTCGCCTGACAACCTGGTCCAAGCTTTTTTAAGGAAATATAATCAAACATCAAAATTATCGAATATAAATAGGTACATGGTTCTCCGATTCACTGTATACTCAATAGGTCATCTAATCAATCAATCAATCAATATGCATATACTTATTTTTTTCAGGATGATAATAATTATAATACTAATGATAATAGACTTCTGTTAAACATAGTGACAGTGAGGTAAAATAAACAAAGGTATTAAAAAAATTTTTCAAACGGGCAAACTAATAATCGTTTGATTGTTAATGACTTAAATATTCATCAAAAGATAGATAGGGAAATTATCATTGGGAAAGGATGGCTCAGCATGATAAGATTAAATGTAATCCGGAGGATTCGTAAAACCAGAAATAAATCAGTTGGAGGTAGAAGATTTAAGGAGAAGATGGAAGGGGAAGCAGATAGCTATAAAGGAAGAAAAGTATGAAGAAAAAATTTCAAGACGTTAAGACCATGGTAGAAGAAGTTGTACCAATCTCTTTTGGACACACAATTCTGGTTTTCCCCGATGTATGGCGATCGCTAAGAAGATGCAATATAATTGTCTTTAGAAGATTTCTACTTACCTTGTAGATGACTTTAAACACAGAGTCTGTCTTGATTGAATGACCTGTGTTCACAAGGTGTTCGATTATTGAACTTCTTATTGAGCCGTTTCCTCCTCTTCTTAGCCACGCCGAATAATGTTCTTGCGTTCTTTTGGATAAAGTACGCATCGAACGACCTATATTCCTAGCTCCATATGAGCATATAAATTTGTTTTCATCTTTAATATACATTCTGACATTGTTTTATGTACGTTTTATGTAAAGCTTCATCAATACTTAAACAAATGTTGAACTAGTGAATCTGAATTTTACGCTTATTCTCTCTGACATAAATCACATGATAAAATGTTAGAACCCAAGACTTTCTACCGATTCTCTTCAATTATGTCATACTTATTCAGTAACGCCAGATTTATTGTACATGATCCAGGCATCAGATTGACTTATTTTAGAGTTACATAGTATAGTTGTCATTGTGTGCATTGTAATAATATAGAAGACTTTGTGTATATGGCTCTGATTTTCGTGTACTCAGCTTGATGTCTGTTACAATCTACTGTGTTCGATGCATCTACAAGATACACCCTTGCCTAATCAACAATCAGAATGAAAAGACTGAAAAACGACTAGAAAGTATCAATTTGAAAAACTGAATGATAATGTATTTATACATTTTTTCTTCCTAAACAAAATATTCGTATATGAACTGCACCTTGATTAATTATATAATAAACTCTTTCTAATACTTTAATTCGTCTATAATTTCTCAACCACTTTTTGACTTTGTAATTCTATGTGAACTGTAGCTTTTACACAACAAGCTCCTGATATATTTAAAGTTATTCAGACTATCAGTCACACATTTCATCCTTCAATGAATGTCAATGATATTCTATTTACAAAGCTACTTGAACCAAAGTGAATGGGGAATTTTGTTTGAACCTATTACATAACTATTGAGAGTTGACGGTCCTAGTCTATTCACCAACTTACGTCCCACTAATTAGAGCATACTTTTTAGTTGTTTTTTTTTTGTATTCAATTAAGTGATGTATATTTCAATTGTCTTCTGTTTAATTAAATGACTTCATAGGTAAGTTGTCTTCCTTTTTTCCACAGTTTTTATCATATCGTTTGGTTTAGAGAAAAATCATCTACATAAACCAATTATCCTTTTTTCTTATTATTCTATTGCAGTGGATCTTACTCAATCTACCAAATATTTTATGGCGAATAATTCTCAAACTGAAACACGTCGTTTACCAGATTCATTCATGGTGAGCGTAATAAATATTTTGCTATGTGAATTCTTTGTACACCACAGTTTGTCGACCAGATAAAAACAATAAATCTATCAGCTATTAATTTGTTAGTAACTCAACCTGAAAGTTTCAGATTTGATCCGTGGGGTGATTGACATCGTATACAACCGAGGAATTCCATATTATAAGATAGCTGTTCCTTAATCATTATCCATTTGTAACAAATTCCGCATACTTTTCTTGATTAATCGATAATTCGGTCGGTATTCTATTGATTTGTTTGTGAATAATATGTTTAAAAGTAGAATTATAGTCTACTGACTGCGAATCCCTTTTAAATGATCTGCTGAAATTATGTATTTGTTTTATTCTAACGCATAAACGATTGCAAATTTTTGAAGACGTAACCAGGTTTTATGTTGATTGCCACTCGACAGATAAGAGTTTATGTATACTCTCGAAGGATATAATGCCCTCTCTCAATCTTTTTGCAGCATTAAATCACAGATTCCCTAGTCTCTACTTTTGAAACTGTATTGTAAATGAAGTCTAAGATCAAAACGTTTACACTAATTGTTGAGGACTATCAAACATCATCATATCTATGTCCTCAGAGCATCTTTAATACTAATTTCAACCACTTAATGATATAATGCTCTTATCGAATTAAGTCACAAATTGAATAGTCTGAGAAAATGAAAGAATCTACTAATTTATGTTACACAATCTCACAACTCATTTTTAGGTGTTTGTTAACTTTCACCTCAAAATATTCTTCCTTTGGAAATTGGAATGGGTAAAGTTCTGGGCTGGCACTTTCTAAAAGTACCACACCAAATCTATACGAGATCCAACTAGTCTATTTTGGTGCTTTTAGATTAATAGAACAAATTTCCAACTTGAGTCGATGACTATCCAAAACCATCAGTTCACTAAATACCCAACCTAAGGTCATAAAAACTGTTTTACAAAATTTAAGGTGCACAAATAGATTTTCTTCTTTTTAAAATACTTCTTGTTTATGGTAATAGACGTATCCCGTTTTTATAGCACATAACCTCCCTCAGATATCGATGTCTTTCATTGTTCTAAACATTTCGCTAGAATCATATAAACAAGCGATTTTCCAAAAATAAATTCATTATCAGTTAACTCAGCAAACTAGTTGAAGACTGAAAAGCGCAATACCATATCTCTATTAATAGTAATTATGTACACTTATCGGGCAGATCATGATGCCCTCTTATCGTAATTTGAGGAATCCATTCTGATGCTGGTGAATACCAACGAACACATAACAACATTTAATCACATATTCTGAATTGAATCCTTTGAGTGATTAAAGTTGTTGTGACATGTGGTGTCTTATTTTAACACCAATGTCCAACCTTTCTATACATGAGCCAAATCGGCGACTTCAGTGAAAAGAGTGGGAACGAGAAGGAAGTTTAACAAGTAAACTGAATCGAAAATATATGTATATTCGTTCATATACATAGATGTATATGTCTGTCCCGTAGAGACGTAAGCAAGCTATGATGATTGTCTCATTCTTCAGAAATCAAAGTTATTTCTTAGACAATCATGTGTACTTATTAGTTGACTGATTCTCGAATCGCTGAATTTCTCAAAAAGAGTGAATTTCTTAGATTACTCTACTTTATAGTTTTATGTACTTTAATAATCAAATCTACTTGTTCTAACTTGATCTTTTCCCTCTGTCTGAAACATTCACAGAATGAAAGTGAAGAGGAACAGAAGACTATGGGTGGCACCTTACAAGTTGTAACACAGTCATTATATAATAAAAATCAACATGAAGACACTGGATTAATGACTCCATTAATGGAACGTTCAACAGAAGATTGTTCACGACTGTCAACAGTTCATCGAACTTATTCAAAAGCGATTAAATGTGATGGTCAATCGTCTTTATCGTTATCACACTCAACAATTTTATCACCATCTTCCTTATCATTATGTAGTAAATCAATTAAATCACCGGCAAATTATTCAATATCTGATTTCCCTTCTCCTGCCCCTCCAGTTGTTGTGACAGTCAGTAGTAATTGTATTGTTGCTCCATTTGCACGTGCTGAATTATCCTTCATCTCTGATCCTTCAGCCTATGATGATATTGACAATCTTTAATTGAAAAATACAACTACTATAATGTATTGCTGTACCATCACCATTACTACTAAGTTGTAATAATAGTAGTATATGTGTCAGTAATCGGAATATTTTGAAAGGAATTTCTATTCTATTGTACATAATCACCTTTATTTACATTTTCACAATCAATCAATCAGACAATTATTTCACAATAGTTCCACAAGAATATTGATCGCATTTAAATTGAAAGAAAAATTGTTTGTTTGTTTGTTTGTTTTATAAAGCACAATTATATTTTGTTTAAATAATTGAACTTTACCCTGATTTTCCAAAGACAAGATAAACAAACAAACAGATAGTTTTCTCATTTAGTTGTCTGACTTATATCAAGTAGGATTAGTTCTATCGGTTTGATAATTATACGATTAGTCAAGAAAGCTAATCTGTGTATATGTGTGTGTGCTTTGAGGGGGGGGGCAGGAGAGTCCTCTCATTCAAATCTCTTCTAACAATTAAGAGTCTAATTATCAGTTTTTTTTCTCTGTAAAATGAAAGTGATTTAACCATTGAACATAATCCAATATGTTTGATCATTAGATCGTCATATTAAATGAATTCAACTTTATCTGGTTAAGATAAATGTGTTGGTTATTCTTACTGGTGATAATCTTTAAGCAATGAACTTTGTCAGATTTGTTATCTATGATATAGAAGAAAAGGAAGCTCTGCTTTTATCACTGTCTCACTCTCGTTCCGAACATTCCTATGTATACTATTGCTGTGAGTTGGATTTGTTTACGTATATACATATATATGTTACCTTTCATTCACATCAATCTTATCTTTGTGTGTGTGTGTGTATGTTGTTACGCATTTGCTTATTTTCATAACTACATTTTGTTATCTTTAGCATCATTGATAATTTTCTGTTAACTTATTTACCGGAGATTTTATTCTTTATATTCATATTGTCCCCGTGTGGATAATTGATTCGAATTATCTCTACAATTTATTACATCTCAATATAGTTTCTTTTTTCTTTTTTAACTGTTATCCATTATTGACTTAATATTGTTGTTAGTAGTAGAGCTTTCTTAATCGTTTTCATATCATGTGTTTGTTCCATTTTGGCTCTACTCTACTTATGAATGATTTAACTGTCTTAATAATTTTATTGTATGTATTCACATCTTATGGTTGACGTCTATATATTTTTGTTGTCTATCTGTATACGTGTTATTTGTTTGTACTTCAATAATAATTTTTTCTAAATAAAAAAGCCGATTAGTTCACAATTGATTGATCACTGGGTGGTGATCAATATCATGTGTGTCAAGTCCTTCTTAGTGATAACGTCTCTGACTGTGAAGCTGGGTGACATGAGATCGAATCCGTCAGGGGGGCATCAGTTCCCTCAAGATTACAGGTACACCTTGCTGACGAATGCCAAATAGCACAAAACCCGGGTACAGGGTTTCCTGTTGACTACCTCCAACCATCATTCTAAGGCTGATTAGTTTTGTGCATGTTTCATTTCTGAATGGTTATTATCCCTATTTGTATCGGATATGAAAGTATATTAAGCGATAAAACTTGTAAGAGAATAGTCAGAAAAATATTATAATGAGTCGATCAGAGAACAATGTCTATTTACTCAGTGTCCTAAAGTTTAAGTGTTCATGCGAAATCTAAGGTCCTAGGTTCGAGTCCTGCTTGTGGAATTGCGGAGGCGCACTGCTGAAAACTCTCAAATTTCAAAAGTCTTGATTAAAAACAATTGCCTAATGGATTTCAATGGCTATCCTACGGTTAATTCTACTTACGGATGATTGGAAATTTTCTAATACAAATGAGACAGACATTAATATATATGTGCTTTAGCTCAAACTGTTATATCTGATTAGCACAACGAAATTAAAATAACAAAAGGCGATCTAAATAATGCAGTAGCAGTGATCAAAAGAACATTAAATCTTGAAAATATGGTTTCAAAAGACAGAAAAGTATGTTTGAAGTAATATTAAGACAGAAGATCGCGAAGATAAACAGTGAATGTGTCTGCAACATTATGAACGATCCTGAACCACTCCAGTCACTGCTTTCGGTTATCATCAAACAAGTTCTCATTACGAATTGACACCAGTTTGAATATCATTAAGAACCAGGTGAAATCGGATAACTGCTTTCTCCTAATATGAGATTTGACGATACACTAGATACGAAAAATACAAAACTGGTAACAAAGTATCTTCTAATAAAACGACAATCAAAGAAGAAGACAGTGATGGTTGGGAAGAAAAGTGTATTTGCTTGTAGATAGAGGTAGGGTAAAACGAGAATTGTAAACTGACTACTTAGAATAGGAGAAGCGTTTCATGTCAAGTTGTGAAGTGATCTGATGGTTATCTTTAACGGAGCTCCCTCATCTAGTTGACGTATAATAAAATTAACAAAGTCAACATCAATGTGGAACTCTCTAAAAATTATCCATCATAAAGAATTCTTTACTTCTACAGACTATTATTACATAAATGCCACTATCACTATAAGCCTTATAAAAACAGCATTCCTATTAAATTGATCAGTTCAATTCCCCTGATTCAATCAATTCGCGATATTATTCAACTTGTCTAACTGAATTCCATCAGTCCTTGTTTCTCAGATACATACGCAGTAATTAGATCCCAAAGATAGTTACTATTAAGTAACTATTATTAAAATAGGAAGCTTACAAAGTGCGTTCAAAACGATGACAGTTGACATCATGGATAGACAGACTGAAGCTAAACAATCATTGGAAAAAAGAAAGGTTTTGATCCTTGTTTTTTTGAAAAATCATTCAATAAAATTTTATTATTCTGTCAAATAACTAGTTCATTTAGTCGTTTTTTTTTCCATGTTTAAAAATGTGTTAAAAATATTCGATATGCAAATTTTACTACTTCGTTGTTGGTTGTTTGAATCTTCCTATTGGTATCAAGGACTGTAATTAATCAGTTTCTGTTTGGCATATGTTTATCCTGTACGGATTGCCTCGATATTGCCCTAACTCATCAGTATTATATGCGGAGATGGATGGTGGTTAACAGTGGAATCCAGAACGTGCATTTTGTCTGTTCTAAAGACGATCACATTATGATGATGTGACTGTTACTAAAAACCAGTAAATGTATCGTGTCCTCAAACACACCTTAAAAGTTAATAATTCAATTCGTGGTAAAATTGTAAATGAACCATAAAGTAAGATGGAAACTATTCAGTCCTCCTTGATCTTTCAAATTATACTTCAGCAGAGAAACAACTAAACTCAAGATAGTGATTCGTTAATTTTTCCTCGAAATTCAAAATACAATAATAAATATTTCATTTATTTAAACATAAATATTGGTACAAGGAAGCAAAAATTACATATGCACGACACAAATTATTTGATTTGTGTGAAGGCTGGAATTCTTCCCGGCTTCCTAAAGATGAAGCAGGTGATTTTCTTAGGGGGTCACACCCGAAGCTACCGACCTAAAGGTCTGATCCATAGGACAGTCCCATGGTAGTCGGTGACCAACAACACGTTCATACACCATTCATTATCTCAGGATCCTGGAGCCCATGTGCACCATAGGTTAGGAATCAGAGTTTCCTAACTTCCCTAGGTGGATCTACCGTATCCACCAACCTGGTCAAAGCACCAGATATTCACTTTTCATCCTTTCAATTTCGTAAACAACACCCCTGTTGAGAGAAAGCAGAGTATAAGAGTTCCCTGAAAGTGACTGTATATGCGTGGTCATGTAAGAACATTTAGAGAGGGAGAGCTGACTCTTTTCACCCTTGACCATACCAGGGCATTTGGGAGCATAATAATAATTATACTAGTCTTTATTAGGCTCTAAACAAAATTTACACATACTTGTGTCTTAAAATCTATGATGTTGACAAAAACCACTGTTGTGTTACTGTAAAGTAGATAATAACATAGTGTGAAAGCTAGGTAGCAGTCGAATCCATCCATCTCTGTTTATAACGCTTATGACTTGAGTCAATATCGAGGCGATCCGTACAACATGCACATATGCCAATATAAGACTGGTCAATTGCAGTTTCAAACATCAATTAGAAGATTCAAACAACCACTACAAAAATGAATTAAATTTCATCCTATCATACAAGCTAATGGCTATCTGAACTCATTAGCTAAGTTGACAAGACGATGACATCTGAAGAGAACGGTAATATTTTTGAGTTCCAGAGTGAACATCAACTCTGAGAAGCAAGTACACCCATCTGACGAGTCCCAAATAAGATGAAACTTGCATCGTGGATTCCACTGCTACCCACCATTCACTTCTGCCTATTACATGTTGAAGGTGAACTAATAGCCAATCAGATTTTATTCATTGTTGAATGTAAAGTTTGCTAAATTGTTTATTAGAGTTTAAAATTTTACATGTTAATTAATGTATAATCAATTGTTAACAAAAAGATATTACTGAATTACTAATAATCTATTCAATCAAATATAAATATAGCCTATTAGAAAATGTCACATTTATATAACTGTCAATTATGTAAGAGGAAGTATGATGTAATTGCCTGTCTAATGGATAGATTAAATGAATATGTCAATCAAATAGAAAATTCATAGAATGACTTATTTTGAATGTAAATTTGTCTATATTCTGTATTGAGAAAATAAACTTAACTTTATACATACTACGTGTATAAACATTGAAATAAGAATTAACAAAACAAGATGTACTTAAGACTAAATTGTCTTTTAAATGAATGAAACAAAATTGAATTTTAACCAGAAAAAGGCTTTTGTGGAGATTGTAGTAGTTGAATTCATGTGTCAATTAAAGTTCAATCAATTCAGTCACTAACAACGTAGAACCTCGTACGTACGTAGGTACATCAGCGCAATTTGCCATACCACATTAGCATAGAGATGCAGTTGTCGAGTCAAATCCCGTAGTGGTAGATCATCATGGAAAACTTGGAAGCACTGTAGGGCCATTTCGTGAATTGATTGAAGTTAG